ATTTGTATACCAATGCATTTTGACACCTGGTCGGCAATGTTTACATAGTACACTTATATAGCACTTTACAACACGCTTTCACATATATTATCTTACTCCTCTTCATGATAACCATGTGAATTAGGCATGGCAGATATTATTATTCCCATTTCACAGATTCAGCTGAGGCCAGGAGTTGCAACTGGGGCACTGAAATTTTAGAAGGCATTGACAGAACATAAACCCCTTCAGCAACATAAAAACAATTGAATTTAGCACCTGGTTATCAAGACTAATTAGTAAAAATAGGAAGCTGCCAGACAGTATTATGCCTACCCCTAGGAATATTCTTCTCTGGCTTGGCCAGGTCTCTAGTCTGCCCTGGTCCCTGTTCTTACAACAGCCTTGCCAGTGACAGCTTTTTGGTGACTCAGCCAAAAGAGGGGGCTGGTGTCTTGTTTCTCATTTACAGGGCCTTGTACCCTGGAGCCTCTTCCTCCTCAGCTGAATTTGTCTTAAAAGGTCAATTTGAAGGGCATTTTTTTGTACTTCTTGCCTTGGGTACCAAACTTACCAAATATGGCTGTGCTGAGGGCTAAAGATGATGGGACTTGTCCAGAGACACATAGCTAGGAAGTGGCAGTTCTAACTAGGAAGCATAAATTCCCTGGCTCTCATCTAGTGTTATTTCGAGTAGTCCCTCCCGTAGCTGAGGTGTGACACGGCTGCTGTGGTGACAGTTCCTAGATAGTGAGGAGGCCCATTGCTAACGCATTTTGGAAGATGAGGCTACAGCAGTGAGACAGCCTTTCCTTGTTTCCGTTACTTGGTTCTTCAGTGCATCTGGCCTGGTAGAGCTCCCAAGTGTGATGCTAAGCATCTCTATCTGGTTTCTCATCCTTCTATATCCAAGAGCGGTGGGTTATCTGGCTGTGCTGGGGAGAGTGGTGACCATTAACTGTTGCATCAGGAGAAAAGGTAGACTTCAAGACTAACTACCTCAAAATGATAGAGGTGGGGGGTGTGGACCCCTGGTTGAGTCCCTTTATGTTTGAGGACCCACTTAGCAGCCCATAGGTTTACAAGAGCCATATTCAGAGACACTTTAGTGATCTACAGAAAGAAGGCAGAGGCTTAAATTCCAAAATTCTCCATCCCCACTCTCCAGATAAGGATTCCAGAACCACAGTACTGCTAAGAGCCCCAGTCACATATATCATAATCTTTGTATGAATATCTTTGGTGATACTGTTCATAACTCCTTATATTCAGTGCTTTTTTTCAACCACCTACTCAAATTTGTCAGTTTCTAAATACACTCAAGTGCATTTCTTCTTGTTCTGGCCTCAGGGAACTAGGGAAGAGCTGATAATTCCAATTTGGAATTGTAGCTATATCTTCTAAGTGAGGTAGGAGATGGGGGAGTATTTGCTAAAGCACAGCTTGAAAAGGGATATTGTCAAAATGCCATAAGTCACAATGCAAAAGCTTTTTGATAGAACCTAGTGGTTTGACAAGAAGAGAAGGAAAGGGAAGTGGGAAAGAGAAAGAGAAAGCAGAGAAGAAAGAAGCAATAGGGACCAAAGGAAAAACAGAAGAGGAAGCAAAGGTAAAAGGGAAGAGAAAGCAACAAGGAAAGGAAAAATGGGAAGGGAAGGGAAGGGAAGGATGAGGAATTCTTCATAACTTTAACTTACTTTTTCCTTTTTTATAAAAAAGTATTGCTGTTTTGTTTTTACATAATTTTTATTTCCAAATTTATTTCTTCTCCTTCCCTCTCAGAGCTACACCTTGTAACAAAGAAGAAAAAAAAGGGGGGGGGAGAAGCAACTAGCAATGCTAACTAACACAACAACTAAATTTGACCATATATGTGATGGTCCTCATCCATACTACCCTACCTCTGCAAAGGGAAAAAGGTGTATTTTCTCATCTCTTCTTTGGAGCCAAATGGGTCATTATTGTGAATATGCCAAAATATTCCCCCTAAGTCAGTGGCTGTTGAGAGCCAGAAAATAGGAGAGAGAGACAGACAGAAAGACGGACAGACAGGCAGAAGACAAAGACAGAAAGAGAGACAGAGGGACAGAGAAGAAGTCTGCTTGCCACCTTCTTCTAGTTCCCCTGATACACAGTGTCCAATTTCCTCAAGTTCATATTAAACTGGTGGAGAGAAAGGAAGAGGACCACCTTTCAGGGAGCACCAGGGAGGACTCAGTGGTGGCCCATTCCATTTCCTTTCAAAGGCTGAAAAGAAAACTTTAAGTCAGCAAGGAGTCCTTGCTTTCCTGAGCCTGCTTCTTTTCACTATGGTATTTTTCAACACCTTGAAAGAAAACCTGTGGAACCAAGAAAAGATAATGCCATTATTTCCTCATTTTCCCTGTGTTGCTGATAACAAGGCACATCCCTTCTTTTTACAGTTTATGCATATCAATGTGATTAATGTAAAAAAAAAAGAATACCCAAATCTCTCTCTCTCTTTCTCCCTTAAAAAAAAAAAACCGTTGCCCTTTTCAAAACAAGGGGAAATTCAGTCTAGTTTCAGTGCCACAGTGATCAAATGGTGTCACATCACTATGGCAATGGCTGCCCAGGCCAGGAATACAGATCAGCTGTAATTGTGCAACGCCTTATTGCTGGTGCATGTCAATCAGAATCTATGAATTGAGAAAAATTTGCTCTGTTCATTCTGTTAAATGATGTATCCAATTAAACCTGTTAGAATTCATGATCTTCAGTCAAGGTTAAATGAAAGTAGTTACTCCTGTCAGCTAGGTGATTAAATGCTGCCTACATCAGGCACATTTATGTGCAAAATTAAAATTTTGGTATAAAGCATGAATCTTTATGCATGCCAGTTAATTATCTTGCGGGTTCTTCCACTTATTAAATGCCCACTGCATTTCTTCTTAATCATCAGCTTCCTTTCAAAACTTATTTCATACTTCACATTACACCAAATTTCAATGTTCAAATCAAATGCCTTATCAATGAAAACTTCCTCTTTTCAAGGGGTTTGGCTGTTGCTATGCTACTGAAAATAATCATTATTAACGTTTCTCTAGTCATTATGCCAGGAGCACTCTCCCTGACAGGCTGCCTCATGCCCAGCTCTTGTGGTCGGGATCTCTTGCTAGGTGGTAGGTCGTTAGCACGGGCTGCGTTCTAATCTGGGACTCGTGCTTCATGCCAGCTTATTCCAACCAACTGCGAGCCGCCGACGGGAGACGCTTCACTGATTTTTATCCGTGCCTTTCTTTTTCCACTCTGGTCTATCTTGAACAGACAACACGAGTACAAAAGTAACAATAAGACGATTGACTACTCAGCCAGAGCATGTCTGGATCCGGGGTGGGGGTGGGGGGAAGGAGAGAAAATATCTTGTTTTTCTTTTCTTCATGAAAAACTAAACAAAACAAAGACTCAACCCACGCGGCACATTACAGCCAATGGCCAGATGTTGCCTCCACTGTTCAGTTAGCAAATGAATGTAAAATACAGTGGAGGGCTGGTATTTCCTCCGTAAGTGTCCACAGAAGACACGTGTGGGGTATGAGTTACGTGGCATCACCCATACTCAATGTTGCATTTTTGGAAATTAATACGTTATGGAACTGGTGTTTGTACACATTAGTGTGTGTGTGTGTGTGTGTGTGTGTGTGTGTGTGTGTGTGTGCGTGTGCATGTGTGCTTGCCAGTGTTTGCCTGTTCACACATGTATGTTATTTAAGTAAAAGCAAAGGAAAAAAACAAGTTAAACTTTCTTTTTCACATGCAAATTTTTACCTACTTAATCTCTTTATTTCTCTAATTTATTTCTCTTTTCATAAGTCAAATGCACTTACTACAAATACTGAAATAACTCCGTCATGTTCAATCGACTGCTTTTAAATGACACTAATAAATTTCAGGTAAATCAAATAATTATAGCTGAATTAGTATACCATTTATGTAACATTTTTCTCATGTTCCTATAACTCCACTATCCTCCATAGTCACAAAAACCACTGAGAACTTAGAAGGGAAAAAACTACCTTGAGCTGTTATTTAAAAACAAAACAAAACAAAATCTTGTGATTTTTTCCCCAAGCATTAAATGAAAAAGAAAAATCAATTGCAGTACAACAAAGTTATTAAAGATAGGTTTTAAATAAACTTTAAAGTTTTTAGAGGCTTGCTTTAAAAACAAAAGTAATTTTTTAAAGAGGTAAAATGGAAGAAATGATTTTCAGTGTATAATTTTAATGGGTCAATTAAACAACACTTGATACTTCTCAGTTCCCTACATTATGACTCATCAGATGATTTTCATTGCAAAGAGAATCCTGGACATGTATTACCTAGGATGTAATGTACTTTACACAGATCTTTCAAGAGTCACACCAGTATTCAAATGTCAATAGCTGTTTTTCTACTGGGGGGGGGGTCTCCTAACTCATGGTGAGTCAAAGAAGTGAGGAGCGTATTGGTGGTCTAATAAAGAACTGAACAGAAATAAGAAGCTAAGAATGATTCTTTGAACAGGATTAACTGAACAAGAAAAGAAACTTGAATCAATAAGAATCATAGTATTTTTAAAAATTAGAACACAAAGAAGCAAAGCAATATAGGTTGTGTGAAGTGAGAATGGAGACCAGTACCTGAAAAAAAACATAATGCAAACAAAATTCTTCTTCTGCCCTGGATTTTGTTTGCATAGACACTTTGTAGCCCACCCCGCTTGGGTGATAGGACTGTTTCTTATTCAGTTGAGTTCATGGAAACTACAGATTTATGGGGGATAGTGCAGAGTGAGGATGTGGTGGGACTCCATTAAAACCTTGAACCAGTATCCTTCTGAACAGTTCTATCTGTATCACCTGGCTGGGGGTGAGAGGAAACAGGATGAGGAGGCTGCATGTCCTGTCACTTAGAATGAAAACCCAAGGCAGAGATGATGAAATAAATCATAAGTCAATAGCAAAGAGTAAACAAACTTCCCTTTATGTTAATTATCGTAAACAGGATCTTTTTTCCCCCTCTATACATATTATGGGTTAGATGTCTGAAAAGCAGTCTTTCCTGATATTATCTCTTAAAAAAAAACAGCTCAGGCATGATTTTCTGTCGAAAAGGTTGCTGTCCCTAAGTAGTTTAAACCTCCCAGTGGAAACAACAACAGTCCTGTCAGAGGCAGAGTGGCCTCTGCCTGTGAGAAATATTCACCTACTGATATGCTTTTCTTGCTAGCTTTTATGACTGGCTTTGCAACTTGGAGATGTAACGTAGCTTGAAATCAACGGTGTGCTCAGTCCTTTGTCAGCCCACACAGAAACAGATCAGGTTGTTCTGTCACACGGCTGTTTTCCCAGGTCAAATAATGCAATGGCATGAAGGAGAACTGGGTCCTATTTAATCAAACTCTTTTGATTATACAAAGCTCCAAACCTCAGTCCAACAGGGAAGCCTCTTCTGGGACAAGGAAAGAAAAGGTTCAATCTTCAGCAGACACACACTGGTGCAAAGCTGCATGGAGAGAGATTAATTCACCCAAATTTGTCTGGCAGAAGCAGCAGCAGGTCACCACAGCTCCAGATGCTTGTCATTGGGAGTGCTGAGGAATGGGTGAAAGGGGTCTAGTTTCAGTTCAGGGAATTGGTAGACACTTACTTGGTTTCCAATTTTGTTTTGTATTTGTTACCAAAAAGAATGCTGCTAGAAATAATTTGCTACATATGGAAACTTTGTCATTGACCTTCTTGGGATAGAGTAGTAGGATGACTAGGTCAAAGGGTATAAACAGTTTAATGATTGGACTTGTCTTAGCTTAAAATTGATTTCCAGTGCCAAAGGACCACATCAGAGCTCCACCAACAGTGTGTTAGAAGACAAGGTATTCTTTCTTCTCACTACCTCTCTAATACTAACTATTTACCATTTAAAAAAGAAATATGTGCCAACTGGATGGGTCTGAGGTAGAAGTTGGGTTGTCTTAGTTTGCATTTGTCTGGTCAGGAGTGGAGAACCTGCAGCCTAGAGGCCACATGTGGCCCTCTAGCTCCTCAAGTGCGGCCCTTTGACAGACACAACAAAGGGCCACACTGAGGACCTAGAGGGCCACATGTGGCATCGAGGCCTCAGGTTCCCCCACCTTTGGCTGATCATAATGAAGCTAAAGTGTTTTGAGCATTAAGTATGCAAAGACTTCAGATCCCTGTTCTGCTTGCCCATGGGTGATATTATAGCATCATCATAAACTCTTCAGCCCTTTCATTTACCCTCATCTTTTTCTTCTGAGTTCATAAAGACTTACAATGTTTACGTACAGCTTTGAAATCCCTCTTTGAGCAGAAATGGGTTTTTGTTACTTTTCCTATGTTCACATGACAGAATATTTTATGTGCTTTATGGTTATGGGTCACACTCTAAAACAACAGAACCAGCTAATCAGCATTAAGTTTGTGCAACTAACGTGGGACACAAAGTGTGCCATTGGGAATTTGCTTTGATATAGAGTATTGTGTGCCACCTAAACTCCCATTCAATTCCTACTCAGTTGCCCCATTGTGGCATGTCAGTGACCCCAGGTACTTGCAGGCTTTGACAACGGAACACAAATTGGCTCCTGTAAAGCTGGATAGGCTCCAAATCTGGGCTAGATTGATCACATACACTAGGTATTCTTGGTCACAGAGACTCACGACTACTAAGATAAAAACTGGTGATCATAGTTCCTTGAAGCATGAATAGCCGTCAGACATGGTTTTTAAATGTCTCTTTTCAAAAGCTTCCATTTCAAATTCAGATTTATTTCTCAAATCAAAAGAGTTGCTTTATCGGCATTCACGACAACACTAAGGACAGATAACATATGTGTCTTGAATATTGTTTCAGCTTCCATGGCCAGGGTTAAGTTGACTTACAGGCAAGAACCTAGCCTTTTGTCTTTGCTTTCTATTATCACTGTACATTCTAATATTATGTATAAACATTTAGAAATTGGACAAAAGTACTGATCAGAGCAGGAAAAAATACCAGGCATGCCTCTCTAGAACCAATTAGAGACCATGTTTGAAGACTTGTCATGCAACAAGGACTAATGAATTGGGAAGCAGCATGGTACAGTAGACAGTTCTGTCAGAGAACCTGGGTTCAAATCCCATTTCTGATAACTTACCTACCTGTGTGGCCTTGGGCAAGTCACTTAAACTCCCTGAGTCTCAATTTCTTCCTTTGAAAACTGAGGGAGCTAAACTAGATGGCCTTTGAGGTCTTTGTAGCTCTAGATTTGTGGCCCTATGGATTGACCTGTCCTGGCTACAATCTAGTGTTTCACCAAAACTGTATGGTTAGATATTTTGTCAAACTTTTTAAAAATGAAAACATTATGGTGTTAAAGAAAATGACAAAAATAATCTCCATACATTACAACACCGTTAAGCTCAGTTTAAAATGTGTGTATTTACTCTGAGGCAGCTAAATTATCTCCATCATCTATTAGATTATAAGCTCCATGAGGGTAGAGAAAGTGATTTGTTATTCTTTGTATCCTCCATGGTACCCAACACCATGGTACCCAACACCATGCCTTTTATTTGGCAGGCATTTGATGGATATTTGTGGAATAACTGAGGAAAATTATGAATTTATAAGTCAGACTTCCTTACCTAAAGGGACAGCGTTTTGCAGAGACTGACTATATGTGCCTGTTCTTTGTTCTTCTGATTTATTTTAGATGAATAATACAGCAACCACACACACTTTAAAACTAGATACCTAAAGTCAAAAATGCCTCTGTCTTCCTGGACAAAAATTGCATGCAGTCTCCAACATTAAGGAAACTTAAGAGTTAACAAATATTGTGAAAACAAAGTCTCAGACCTGATTAAATACTTACATACATCTTTTTGAATTGCCTGTGTGAAAGAGGAGCAGATTGATAAAGGACAAGAGAAATGCTAAATATGCATCATGACAAACAGTGAAAAATTAAGGATTGTAACTAACATTAATTACGCTCTAGTAAGATGAATAGGCTGCTCATCATTAATGAGAACATACACCTTTGTCTAAGTTTCACATCCACCTGTGATGAATGTGCTAATGGTGATAAAATACATCATAGTAACATTTGAATTAACAGCACACTAATAGATTGACATATGAGTATGAATAAAGCATTTAATCATATAAACTGTACCACACCCAACAGCAAATTTTCCTGTATTGCATATGTTGTACAAAAGTGAGTGAAAAAAACACCAGAGCCTTATTTTAAATCTCACTTTCAGTGTCCTGTAATAGTGTATTACAAATCAGAAAAAGGAGATTATTAAGAAAATTTCAGAGACTTTCACTAGAGTGGAATGGATGGATATGTCTGAATAAAAAGATTGGGGCTTGGCTTCCCTATGAAAGATGAGGCCTTGCTTGGGAGATACAGAAAACTCAAGTGCTGCTCATAATTGTGAAGAGGGAGTGCTATGTCTGATCAATGCCTAGATGTTTTCAGGTACATTTCTGAGTATACATTTTAACTGGATGTGAAAGAGACCAAATTTAATATTGAAAATTACATATATAAAGCGGTCAAGAACAATCTTCTGTCTTTGTGTGAATTTTTTCATGGAGATGTTTGAATGCCTTATTTAGCAGAGCCCTGATATATTATTTTCATAGAAGTATTATTGAAATTCATATATAAGGTAAAAGGATGGCGGAGGGAGGAAACTCTTTTAATGGACATTGAATACTATTTAAAGTCACAAACTGGGATTGCAAAATCTAGGATGAGGAGAGTTACATGTACACCAGTAACCAATCAGCATGCAATCTGCACTGACCACCGTAGAGGAAGCCTCTACATTATGAAACATTTTTGTGCAGTTCCAAGATTGTGTTTATTACTATCCAGTCCTTAATCTCCAGTTATTTCTTACAAAGTGGTGATTGTTTGCACCATAAAAACTGTTACTCATGGCACTCATTTGCAGTAGATCCTATTATGTTAGAATGTTTAAAATGCAGTTTTTACTGAAATTGCAAACGAAAAACATACCGATTATCAGCAAAGAAAGGGAAACTGAAATTTCTGACTAAATATGTAATTTAATGTCCTGGTTAAAAGTTGCTAAAATTGAACCATTATGCTTACTTGTTTTGAAAAATGGACTTAAATGGAATAGCATTTATTTGCTTATACTTTTGTAGCTTAAAATAAAACTGTTATTTTTGATAATACAAAAAGAGCCTCATAATTCTGAGACTCATGAAAAAACCACTTTCTGTGTTTAAAAATGAATTCCTTTTGTATTCAGATAATGTACAGAATTCATATATTATCCCATATCTGCAAGAAGGAATTTTAGGGAGCAATAGATCAAATTGATTTGTTTAGCTATGGTGTTACAAGTTTTTGATAGTGAAATTGAACTATCCTAGAAAGTCAAGTCAACAAGCATTTATTAGCTGCTTACCATGTGACAGGCTTTGTGCTAAGTGCTGGGAATACAAATACAAGCAAAAAGAAAAGTTGTCCCTGCCCTCAAGATGGTTACATTCTAAGGGAGGAAGACACCACATAAAAGGATACTGAAAAGCTGGGGTGGGAGGTTGGGAATAGTAGAGAAAGAAGTCCAGAGAGAGACAGGATCAGAGATGGGAGAGAAATGAAGTAGTGAACATGGCTGGCTGAGGCATTTTCCTAAAAATGAAGGTTGGTTAGGACTTGATTAATTAGAGGAAGCAACTGCCCAGGTGGTGTGATCTTCCAGGGTGAGAAGTCTTCTGGGGGGAAGTGATATTTTAGTGAGATCTACTTTTTGAAGAGAAGTGAATACTTTTTGAATAGAATACGAATGATATTTCAGTAAGATCTACTTTTTGAAAAGATTTATTCAACTAACAACGGGGGTGGGGGGAGGGGTGACACCAGGCCACCTCCAAAGACAACAAGTTGCTATTAACAATTGAGTTGTTGTTTTGAATCAATGTAAAGAGTTTCTCAACACTAGTGAAATAAAAAGTCTAAATTTCCCTACTCCCTATATGTACAGAGAGCTATGTTAGGACTAGGGACATGAAGATTTTTTTTTTGATGGCATCATGCCTACCCTTAGGAAATTTGGAGTCTAATGAACATTATTATTACTTAACTACATACAGTGTTATGTGTGTGTCAGTCAGTCAGTCAAGAACATTTATTAAGCAATTATTATATGCCAGATACTGTGCTAACACTAATGATAAAAAGAAAGGCAAAAAACAGACTCACAATCTAATGGGGGAGATGACACGCAAATACCCAAGGTACATGCAGTGAAAATGGAAGGTGATCGCAGAGGGAAGTCACTAGTAGACAGCCAGGAGGTCAAGGAAAGATCACCTGCAGAAGGGAAGATTTGAACTGAGCCTTGAAGGAAGCCAGAGAATCCAAGTGGTGGAAGTGAGAGGGCCAAACCCGGCAGGCCCAGAGGACAGCCAGGACCACTGCACAGAAGGACAAGATGGAATCTGAATTCTAGGCCTTGGAAGCAGGTCAGTGGAGCTGGGTTAGAGAGTGTTTGGAGAGGAATAAGAAGCGAGAAGGCTAGAAATGTTAGAAGGGGCCAGGATATGAAGAGCTTTAAATACCAAAAAGAGGATTTTATATTTTATCCTGGTGATAAAGTGATAAGGAGCCACCGGAATTCATTGTGGGTATTAGGGGAGGGAGGAGAGAAAGTGATGTGGTCAGACCTGCACTTTAGAAAAATCACCTTGGTAGCTGAATGGAGAGTGGATTGGAGTGGGGAGATACTTGAGGCATGGAGACCAATTAGAAAGCTGCTCAAGCAGTCCAGGCGAGAACTAAAGAGGCCTGAGCTAGGGTTGTGGCTAGGGGAGTGGAGAAAAGTGGAGCACACACACGTTACTTGTCCTTCCTTAGATGGTATTTCTGAAATGATGCTAACATAGATTATTACTAAAGGCCTCTGGGGTAAAAGAGGAGAGTACCTTGTAAAACATGGAAGAAGGATTCAGCATTTTATTACCTACCTTGTGGAACTGAATAATATCAAAAATCCTAGTAAAAAGTCTGGGAGATGCTGATGATTCTGTGGATGAAAGTTCTGGGTTAAACTCTGGGATACTCAGGTAATCCTCTTTGACAGACTTGACAAGGACTTCAGGAATGCCTTCCTTATTAAAACAAACAAGCGAAAACAAAGCAATGAGCCTTTGGAGGTTATCATCCACCTAGAAAAAGAGAAAGATAAGAATGGGTTCAGTATAGTCCTGAGCAGCCTGAAAAATTCTTAGACTTTTAATTGGGTATGTGATTAGGTCAATACCTACCAGAGACCCCCCCGCCCCAGCCCCGGCTATATTGCCAGACATGTCACATACAGACATGAAGAAGCCCAACTACGTGGAGTATGGGCCCTTCAGACTTAGCAGATGTTCAAAGGCTATACAAGTCACCACATCTTGCCTCACTGACCAGATATTGTTTACATATGTGGATGCCACACCAATTGCTGTAATCTTTCTCTTTGAGTATCCTTTCTATGCTATGGCTAAGTAAATCTCCTTTTGTTAACTGTTAAATGAACTACAAATGTTTCATTTTGTTCCAATATCCCAACCTAGACTAGCAGGAGATAAGATTTGAGTCAGGCTTATTCAATACAACCTGTCATGATTAGTATGCCTGCTTCTTTGGCAGCCATATTCCACCATAGTGGTCTTCCCTGAGACTGTATTTGGTTCTCTGAAGGCCGTCATATTCTTTCAGACAAGCTTCTAAGCTAACGGAGATAAATGGCAAAAATTACACACAGAAACCTCCATGAGGGGGGCTTAATGGGAACCCCTTACTCACCAATCTGTCCACAGATCCACATGGTGAAGAAGGATAACAGATGGCTTGCGTGTGTTTTCATTAATCATTCTGAGTATTAGCTCAGATAAAGATTTCTTGCTCAGCTTGTGGGTCTATTTGTTTCTTTAACTTTGTTTTGGAGAAGGTTCACTGGAAGCATACAAGAGTTTCCTTCATGTGATCAACATTCCTCCATAAAAGAGGGGGGCCATAATTTGACCTATTTATCACCACTTTAGATGCTTCTTTTTATAAAAAAAATTAAGAACATATGGAGAAAAGAAAAACTTTTATTGAGCAATATAAGTCCTTTGGCAGGAGCTTTGATTAAAGAGATTTCCCTCAAAAATACCCAAGAGAAAAAGGAACATTTAAAATTTGTTACTTTTCTGCATTTGGGAGGAGAGGACTGATGCAGAAACAGATGTAGCCTTATATAATGGGCACCCCTAGCTGAAGAGGGGTTAAGAAGCTGAGATACCTTAATCAGTAATTTGGTAGAAAAGAAGAAGGGAAAGGCGATATGAGTAAACTGCTATTCCTGATAGCATCTCATATGGATATATGTGGGTATTTTGGACCTTTTGGGGGGATAGAATGGTATAGTAGAGAAAGCCTTGGACTAGGAGATAGTACATCTGAGTTCTAATCCTAGTTCTGACACATCGATATGACATTGGGAAAGCATTTGACTTCTGAGGCACAGGGGTTGGGTTAGATGATGTCTAAAAATTATTTCCACTTTTCTGCTTGTGATCCCAAGTCATCTAACCTCTCTGGGCTTCAGTTTTCTCACCTGAAAATTATAGCTAATAGTATTTGCATTATGACTTTCTAATGGTATTGTGGGGGGAAACACCTTGTAAATCTTATAACACTACGTAAATGTGAGTTTTTGTTACTTTTTGTCTTCATCCTGGAAGTCAGGGGTGAGACTATGTAGCTTCTGAGAGTGTATATGTTTTCTTCTCCCTATAGAATGTGAGGCAATTGAGGGCAGAGAGTAGGAGTTAGGAAACCTACTTCTGATACTTATTACCTATATGACTTTGGGCAGATCACTTCACCTCTGAGCCTCAATTTTCTGATCTGTGAAATGAGGGGGTTATTTGTAACCCCAGTACTTAGCACAGCACTGGTTCGTAGTGGGCTCTTAATAAATGTTTGTTGATTGATTGACTGAAGGTCGCATTCAACTGTAGGATACTCATGCATGACTACACACAGGACAGATGTAGAATCTGTCACATGGAGGTCTCCTATAGCTGTAGGGAAGGAAAAAGGGAAAAAGCATTTGTTAAACACCTACTATGTGCCAAGTACTATAATAAGCATTTTATAAATATTATCTCATTTGATCCTCACAATAAAATCAGCTATTATCCTCACTTTACAGTTGAAAAAACTGAAGCAAGTAGGCTTAAATGACTAATTTAGGGTCACACAGCTAATAAGAGTTCAAAGGCCACACTTGAACTGAGGTTTTCCAGGCCTAGTACTCTATCCACCATACCACATAGCTGCCTAAACTTGCTGCAATTCTAAAACTCTGGTGGGGGCATTTATTACACATCTGAAATGCCCTTAGGAGTTTGTAGGCATTTTGTCTGTTCAGGGAGTACAGAAGCTACTGAAAGCAATGTTTTTGATCAAGTAAGAGTAAATTGGGCAGCTACGTGGCACAGTGGATAGAACTCTGGCCCTGGAGTCAGGAAGACTCATCTTCCTGAGTTTAAATCTGGTTTCAGACATTTACTAGCTATGTGATCTTGGGCAAGTTGCTTAACTTTATTTGCCTCAGTTTCCTCATCTATAAAATGAGCTGGAGAAGAAAATGGCAAACCACTCCAGTATCTTTGCCAAGAAAATCTCAAATGGGGTCACAGAGTCAGACATGACTGAAATGACTGAACAACAACAAAAGAGTAAATTAAGCTCTCAAAATTTTCCCATGGACTCCTGTTACGATCTGCTATCTTCTTTGGGCACAGGTTGCTAAGTTTCTTGGATATTAGTTGAGAATTTACATATGGAGTTGTCCTTTAATCCTGAGGTAATCTAAGAAAAATGATTGCTTTGAAATGCTACAAGGAAGTTCTGGAGAACAAATTATACAAATACTCATCTCACAATAGTATGTTTCACAATCACAGATTTCAGTAGCGGTGTCTATGGGCGATGACCTAACTGTTCTGGGATTGCCTGGATTCCTGCCAAAGAAAATCATCTCTAGAGGGAGCTACTATTCAATCAGTGCACGGTCCAAAGCCAGCTCCAAAGAAAGAGACAACTTCCATTTTTCTGCCTATTTTAAGAATCCATTGGTATTCATCAAGCCCATGATTTGTCTACCTCCACCTCTAAGAAGGCTGTATTAAAATCATATTTGGGTAACATGCTGAATGTTCTACAATAATAATTTTCTATGACCCTATTCATTTCCCTAATCGCTACATGACTTGTTGGCCAAATGTGCTAGATATTTTTCAGTATTAGAAAAAAACAAAGCAAAGCATTTGAGCTGCTGTGGACAAAGATTATGGATTAATATCTGAGGGCAGAGTAAATCTCTGAATGACTAATTACAATAATGTTGGAAAGATTATCAGTAACTTCAGGAAGGACTGGTAATTACTACTCATCCCAACCCACAGATTGTCCTAGTAAGAATTGCCATGAAGTATTGATCACTTTTGTTGCTAAGAAAAAGCAAAATCCAAGAAAAGAGGGAAGATCTTTATCCCTGGGATTCTTTTGAATTTAAGAGAATAGATGTCCTTATTTCTCTACTTTCAATAAATGTCTGGCCTAGCTGGAATTAGTAGCTTTTCATTTCTATCCCAGCTCCTGTTCCTGTATGAGAGAGGTGGTTTGTGGGAAGTAACTTTCTAAGGGAAAACCTACTCAAAATGTTGTCTAGGGAAGGTGAACCCATCGGCCTTACCAATTCCGAATGTGTTTCCTCCATTATTCTTTCTTTCGTATCAGGTTAAGTTCTATAGCCCTCCAGGAACTAGATGGTGCAGTAGAGAGAGCACTGGACTTAGAATCAGGAAGACTCATCTTTCTGAGTTCAAATTTGACTTCAGACACTTACTAGTTATATGACCCTGGGCAAGTCACTTAACCCTGTTTGCTTCGGTTTCCTCATGAGCTAGAGAAGGAAATGGGAAAACATTCCAGTATCTTTGCCAAGAAAACCTCAAATGGGGTTACAAAGAGTCAGACGTGAATCAACAACAACAACAATCTCTCTAGGGCACTGATGGTAACCAATGTATATATCCTGTATATACATTGTAGAAAGATGTTACACAGTTACTGAGCATCAGCAAAAAGAATCATCATGTACTACAGGGTCTTGGTTCCATCTAGGAAACGGTCTAGTGGATTCTGAAGGCAACCCAGCATGAGTATTGATTACAATGCCAAATTTGTATGATCCCAGTCAAGGTACTGGTTAGTCATTACTAGCATAAAGCACTTGGAAGCACAGGGAAGAAAGGTGCTATGAATTCCTTGGGAATCATGGGAAAATATTGTCAAAAACTTTAAATAACTTTGGAATATGTTTAGAAAAATGTTTTGCCATTGGAATGTAAGCTCCTGAGGAAAAGGACTGTTTTTTCATTTTTTGTCTTTGTATACTTATTGCTTAGCACATAGTAGGCATTTAATAAATATTTATTGAATTGTGATCCTGCATCAATGAGATTTTGAAAAAATGGAGAAGTGCTATACATATGTAAGACGTTGTTGTTTTTGACTGCTGGTGCCTAAAAACCAGGATGAAAACTAAAAAAGGGAGTGTGGAGTAGAATCACCTTATTAGACTGTAAGCTCCGTAAGGGCAGGGGCATTTTCTTATGTAAACTTTGTAGCTTCCCCAGCACCCAACACAGTTACACAGTGAATAAGTATTTTTTGAATGAATTTGTTGAATGAAGTGCACATGAAGAAATAAAAGATGGAGTAAATATGAAGAAATGAAATGGAGTGATAGAAGAGAAAAACAAAAGGGTAGCTGGTGAGGAAGGATATAGTGGTATCCATGTCATCTCAATTAATCAATCACAAAGTATTAAATGCTCATTATGTTAAATCAGTACTCACTTATTAAGGGTTAGCCCTATACTGGGTGTTACAGGGCAGAAAGAAGGTTTTTCAGCCCAAGTTCCTGCTTTCAAAGAAGCTGAATTTTGGTAAAGGATGTTGTTAATGGGAGAGGGGAAACGATAATTAGATAAGCTTTTCTTCTGTATGATATTAACTGCAGACACCATAGGGGCTCAGAGAAAGGGTAGGGGAGTAAAATTTTAAAGAAGAGGAAACACAATCAGAGAAGTACAATCTTGCCATCCCTTCCCAGCTGCCAATATATGAGCACACTCAGGAAACTAATTAGGTATTTATGACAAGACTACAAGAATTTCAGAGCTTGGAACAAGCTTTGGAGATCACATAGTCCAACAACTTTATTTCTGTCTATGAGACAGAGGCCTGCAGATAGCAAGTGACTTGCCCCAAGGTCACACAACCTGGAATTAGAAGCCAGGACTCCAGATCCTGATGCTTTCCTATCACAGACAAATAATAGCTTTAGAGGGAGTAAACTGCATATTTTGCATCCCTATGAATTTCTTTTGGGTAAGATTACTTTTAGGTAAATCTATTAGAATTATGTCAGGACATTCTTTTAAAATACCCATGCTGTTCGATATTTAAAATATCCTTATAAATATATAAATATGCTGCCATAGATTCTGTTTAACTTGAGATAATCTAGAAGGTCATTTGTGAAACACTGTCCCACTGACAATACTTGTCTTAAGTCATATAAACAAACACTCGTTTTCTCTCTCTCCCTTTCTCTTTTGTTCTCTCCCTCTCTTTGATTCTCTCTTCTCTCTATCTGTCCTCCCTCTTTCTCTCTCCTTTCTCTTCTTTCCTTTTTCTCTTTCTCTCTCTCTCCTTTTTTTCTCCTCTCTTTTTTCTTCTTTCTTTCTCTCTTTCTTTTTCTACCTCTCTTTCTTTCTCTTCTCCCTTTCCTCTCTTTATTTCTTTCTCTCCTCTCTCACCCTCCCTTCCTTCTCTCTCTCTCTCTCTCTCTCTCTCTCTCTCTCTCTCTCTCTCTCTCTCTCTCTCTCTCTTTTTCTCTCCCTCCCTCCCCCCACCTCTTTCTCTCTCTGTCACCACAGCCTTTGGGAACTTCTCTC